AGGACCATATGGGATGCCAGGGATTGAATCCATATTGACCACATGCAAGGCAAGCGCCTTACCCACTGTACTCTCTATCTAGCCCGTGTACTTAATGTTCTTTTGGGTTTTTCCTGTGTTATTTATTTGATGGGGGTGGAGGTGGGTCTGGGCCATATCAGTAGTGCTCCTCAACACCAGTACTGGACTGTGATAGCTTAGGAGAGCTATGTAGACAGGTGAATCTTGAATTGGTTCTAAAGACTGAATAGAATTTGAATAGAATAAGTATGTACAGTGCTTAGTGTTCTCTAAGATTCCCAGATCTGTGACTTGGTATTATTATTAATTTGGAAAATTTTTAACCATTTCAAATATTTTTAATTTCTTTTCTGTCTTTTAATTTGATATTTCAGTTCGCCACATGTTGCACTTTTATAATTGATGCACAGCTCTTAGATAGTCTGGGTTTGTTTTTTTGTTTTAGTTGACCCTCTGGAACAGCACAGATTTCAATGCCTTGAAGTGACTCATACACAGATCTTGTAATAGGTCATATAAACTTACAGTAACGTCTGTATACAGGATAGTACTGCAGACTCAGTTCTCTCATAATAAGCAATGCTTAGTGAGCCCAGAAGCCATTCCTAGTGTTGCTGAGCCAAATGAACTGGATAGCTGTATGTTGGGGCCAAGGATGTGGTGATGCTCTGGGCCTGCTGGGCCTGGGACCACCAGGACAGACCTGGATAGAGCTTGGGGGTGCCTCCAGGATTGCACCCGCACTGTTGGAGATGCATGTGGTGCTGGGGATCGAACTGAGGGTCCCACATACACAGGATACACAGGGTATGTCCTCTGGCCCCTGTATATGTCCCTGACTCCTGTTCCTCTCCATGGGCGTTTTTTTCCTTTCTTTTTTTTTTTTTTTTTTTTTTTTTTGCTTTTTGGGTCACACTGGCAATGCACAGTGGTTACTTTTGGCTCATGCACTCAGGAATTACTCCTGGCAGTGCTCGGGGGACCATATGGGATGCTGGGAATCGAACCCAGGTTGGCCACATGCAAGGCAAATGCCCTACGCGCTGTACTATTGCTCCAACCCCTCTAGCACAGTTGTTGAAGAGATTTTTCTTGCTCCATGCACCCAGATCCTTTATCAGAGATCAACTGTCCATGTATTTGAGAGATTATTTCTGAACTCTCAATTCCATTCAATAGGTCTTGAGAGTCTGTCTTTATTTCTGTACCACATAGTTCTTTTATGCTATAGAAATTTAGTTGAGTTTTGTATATAAATGTTGTATCCTGCAACCTTGCTGAACTCACTTATTAGCTTTAGTGTTTTTGTGGGGAGAGTGGGTGTCTTAATGTCATCCATGTACAAGATCTTGCCATATGCGAATAGTGTAAATTTCATTTTAAATCTGGATGCACGTATTCTTCTTGTCTCATTGTTCCGGCTAGGATTTCAAGTGCAGTGTTAAGTAGCTTCCTGTCTTAGTGGGAAAGTGTGTTCAGGCTCTACTGTTTATTATGGTAACTGGGGTTTTGGTGCTTTTCATCAAGTTAGTTTTTATTAGTTGACCCAACCTTCAAATGGCACACATCTTCCTTGATAGTAATCTTTATCTGTACTTGGCCAGATTGTTTTCTAAATATAGTATGTTTTTCGGGCACACACAGTGGTGCTCAAGGCTTACTCCTGGGTCTGTGCTCAGAGGTCACTCCTGGGATTGCTTAAGGAACCATATGAGGTGCCAGGGATCAAACCTCAGCTAGCCGTGTGCAAGGCAAGCACCCTGCCCATACTCGTATTGCTCCAGCCCCTGTTTCGCTAATTTTTTGTTGTGAATTTAGCTTTTATGTGATGTCTTTAATTTTGGTATGAAGGTAATAACTCAAAGTGTTGGGAAGTGTTTTCTCCTCAAGTATGAAAGTCTAGTAACTATTGTTAATTTTTCTTTAGATATTTATAGCATTTACCTATGAAATATTTGAACTTTGGCTGTTCTTTGTCACTGATTTTGTGGTTTTGTTTGGGTCACATCTGATGATGCTCAGGAGCTACTCCTAGCTCTGTGCTCAGAGATTGTTTCCTGTGGTCCTCAGGGAATTGTATTGGGGATCAAACCCAGGCCCTCTCCCCACCCACCCCAATCCCAGATCATGTGCTCAGCCCTTTGTTATCTTTCCAGGCCCGAATCACTAATCTTACATCTTGTTGTAGTTGTATCAGATAATTCTGATTTTTCCTGAGTCGATTTGTGTTTGGTTTCTTCTAGGAATCTGTTCGAGTGATAGCGCAGCAGGTAGGGCGTTTGCCTTATAAGCGTCCAACATGGCCAACCCGAGTTTGATTCCTCCACCCCTCTCGGAGAGCCCGGCAAGCTACCGAGAGTATCTCGCTTGCATGGCAAAGCCTGGCAAGCTCTCCGTGAAGTATTCGATATGCCAAACACAGTAACAAGTCTCACAATGGAGATGTCACTGGGCCCGCTCAAGCAAATCGATGAACAATGGGAGGACAGTGACAGTTTATTGGTATATAATTTTCCCTAAAACACTACCTGATAAAACATTTTGAGTGGGGTTTTGAGGATAGAACAGGGGGCCAGGGTATATGTGTGGGGCCCTGTTTAGCTCCCCAGCACCACATGGCCCTCTGAGTACTACCAGGTGTAGCCTTGGAAGTCCCCAAGCACCTCAAGCACGGCCGTGGTCACACCTGACCATCAGCAAGGTGGCCCGGGTGGTCTCGGCCCCCATAGGGCTGGAGCAGCACTGCATTCTTATGCCCAGCTGGGAGTAGCCCCTGAGCATCATCAGATGTGACCCAAACAAAATCACAAAATCAATATTTAATTTTAGTGGCTTCCTGGCTACCCAGTGGTTTTTTTGTTTATTCTTGTTTGGAGGCCACACCTGGCTGTGCTCAGAGCATATTCGTAGTTTGCGCCCAGGGCACCGTATGGGGTGCTGAGGATTGTGCCAGGATTGGCGACAAGCAAGACATTTCCCCTTGCCGTTGTAATATCACTGCAGCCCTGCCTCCAGAGTTTTTTTGTCCCCCTGGCCTCCAGAGTTTTTTTGTCCCCCTCTAAGGTTTCCAGTAATGTCTCTCTTTCATTACTAAACTTAATAATTTGGCTCATTGTAAGTTAAGTCCATATAGCAAGAGGTTTTCATTTCATTTCTCTTTTCAAAGAATAAGTTTTCTAAAGGAGAGAGAGAACAAAAGGGAATGCCCTGCCACAGAGGCAGGGTGGGATGGGGGGATGGGGGTTGGGAGGGATACTGTGATCCGTGGTGGTGGGAAATGGGCACTGGTGGAGGGATGGGTATTTGATCATTGTATAATTGAAACCCAAGCACAAAAATTTGTAAGTCTACAACTGTACTTCATGGTGTCTAATAAAGATATTAAAAAAAAAGAAAAAAGAAAATTAGGAATGATGTAAATAAATATTTAACAAAGACAAAAAAAATTTGTTTCATCTATCAGTTTAATTTTGCAGTCACTGTCACTGTCCTCCCGTTGTTCATCGATTTGCTCGAGAGGACCCAGTAACGTCTCCATTGTGACAATTGTTACTGTGTTTGGCATATCGAATACATCACAGGTAGCTTGCCAGGCTCTGCCATGTGGGCGAGATACTCTTCGTAGCTTTCCGGGCTCTCCGAGAAGGGCGGAGGAATCAAACTTGGGTCGGCCATGTTGGCTGCTTGCAAGACCTGCTGTGCTATCGCTCCAGCCCTAATCTAGTAAACAGGAGATCATGGGTTTGAATCCCAGTGGTGCCTGCGGTTTGTCTCAGGTAGAATTTTGCAGTAGCACTAAAAATTTTTTTTCCTTATGCTTACTTTGGGTTTAGTTTAGTTCTTGTTGTTCCTGGTTTCTCATGGTGGGAGGTTATATAATTGATAGGAGATCATGTTTTATTATTAATATAAATCTTGGGAGCGGTGAAGACTTGAGTACTTTTTTTGCTGAGTCCCATACAGCCACATTTGCTTCTTGGGGGGTTCTCTTTCAAGCAAAAGAAAGATTTCATGCCCCCCCTTCACCCATTCTTTGTGACTTGCATTGATTTGAGCTTGCTGGGGTTTTTTTTTTTTTTTTTTGGTTTTTAATTTTTTTTGACACGTGGAAATGGTCATTTCCTGTGGTTCATCCTAGTGATGCAAGAACACCTTATTGCCTGCTGTTGTTCTTGTATTGTCTTAACTTTGCAATCTAAGAAAACAAATGTGAGAAGCTCAAGGTCAGAGGAATGGTGATTCAGGACATGCTACGATGTCTCTGAAACCATTTCATGTCCTGTGAGCTGACTGAGTGGCAGGTGCATAGTAGTTCACATCCAGCCCCGATGATATTACTTCCCAGAGGAGTTAGTGCAAACAATGCCATAAATGGTAGATGTACCTGTTATTAGGTTTGAAAGTTGTTGCATATACCTTGAACCTTTGGTTCATTTCCCACTCAGTGCCTCGCGTGCTTTGAGAGAGTTGGTGGCATACATGATAAACACAGGCTCGGTGCCCGCTCCCGAGGAATTTCTGGACAAATGTACCAGTAATTGTGTTCACATTGAACAGATTTTCGATAAAGCCCCAGAGTAGGGCACTTAATCTTTCAGAAAGGAGAGGGGAAAGGTCAGTCAAGGACACTTTTTATTTAGCTTACCTTTTGAAGAAAGGGTAGGCACTTTCCGGACAGAAAAGACAGGAAAGGGAAAGGAACATGCACCAAGATGCCAAGAGCAAGCATCTGGAGGGTACATTGGGAGAGAAGGGGGCTGGGAAAAGAATATAGGTGAAAAGCTAGGGAGGGGCGTTGAATCACAAGTCAGAGAGCTGTACTTTGTGCTAACAGGCTGTTAGGAGCTATTTGAAGTTTCCAGGAAGAAACCTTTGAATTACTGTCCTGGAATGGTTTTGAAGACAGCCATCATAAGCCATCTATGTTAATCTTTCGTCACCAGTAAAATGTTCCACTTTTTTTCTTTTTTGACTGACAGTTCCCAGACACTTTTTTGATGGAGAGGGACAAACAGTCCAAATGGAGTGGGATTCCTCAGCTGCTCCTGAAGCTCCATACCACCAGCCACCTCCACAGCGACTTCATCGAGTGCCAAAACATCCTCAAGGTAACTCTCTGGAAATCTGGAGGGCTGAAGCCCCTCCAGATTTGATACAGGAGGCCCGGTTCCCTTTTCCCTTCTCTCTGAGTTTACTTTTGTCAAGTGGTCTGTTTTTCCATAGCTGAAGAAATCTGGGATGTTCAAAAAAAGTTCACAGAAAGAAATAAAAATCAGTTGTAACCAATACCACCACCAGAAGCCCATCACTGCTACCTGGGTTTGATCCCCAGTACCACATTTGGTCCCCTGAGCATAGCCAGGAGTAAACCCTAAGCATTGCCAGGAGTGGCCCCCAAACAAAAAAACAAAATTCTGCTCAGTGCTAAATAAGTGATTAAGTCACTTACCAATCATGTGACCCTGGGCAACTTTTATTTCTTATATTTAAAGTGGGTATGCTACGAGATTCCATTGAACTATCTTAAGGATAAATGGGCTAAAAAAAAATCAAAGGCCAGTGCTTGTTATATAGGGGATTATATGTGAGAGAAAGTTCTGTTTTCTTGTGGTTGTGCTACCTAGATCAGCTGCATCAGCAGCCATGGGAACGTGTAACGCACGTTCTCAGATCCCACCCCAGACCTGTTGAGTGAGAAATTGCAGGTGGGGTGCAGACATCTGGGTGTTAACAGACTCTTCAGGTGAGTCTGCTGCTTACCAGTGTTAGGAGAACCACTGCTCTAGCCAGCTTCTCCCAAGGTTTGCCAGGAGAAAGCACCACAGCTAGGAGCCTGAGTTCTTTTCTCTGACTCCTTTGTCACCCAGATTGAGTTGTCTTCTCTCGGCATGATTCTGGAGCTGGATCTAGGTTTAAATCCTGCTGCCTAAGCTGCTTACCTAAGAATGTTGCAACCTTTACAGATCTGTGCCTCAAAGATATTGCTACAGGGCCAGAGTGATAGTACAGCGGGTAGGGCACTTGCCTTGCACGTCCATCCCAGGTTCGATCCCCAGCACCCCATATGGTCCCTCAAGCTCTGCCAGGAGTGATCCCTGAGCACAGAGCCAGGAGTAAGTCCTGAGCATAGCTGAGTGTGACCCAAACAAAAATGTTATTGTCATCTCATACAATTGTGAGGATTTTTTTTTATTAATTGATTGTGAGGATTAAAGGAAGTCAAAAACTGATGTATCAAGAGTAGCACATACAAGGACTCTGGCTCCAGGATGAATACAACAATCCTCCACACTTTCCTCTTAGGAAACTTCATTGTACCATTTTTAGCGGAATTTTCATAACAAGCAGTACAAAATTAATTGTTTCAGTTCTACTTTGGGGTGCACGGTTTGGGATTTGGGGTGGAAACATTTGAAATATGGTGGTAGGAAGGTGTTGGGATTGGTGTTTGAATATTAAATGTAATGAATTATTGTGAACAACTTTATAAAAATAAAATTAAGTTAAAAAAATAAAGTAGGTCAAAAGATAAAAAGAAATAAGATTGCAAAAATTAAAAGAAGAAAACACTTTGCAAACTTATCTCACTTAATTCCTGCCCAATCTTTGAGATAATGGGATGGAGTTAGAAGACTCAAAGGGATAAACTCCAAGAGGCGTGGAATTCTGGCCACTCTTGAAACTAAGTGCCACCTGCCTCTTCCACGGGGACCTTGTTGAATTCCTAACATTCTCCCAGTAACTCTCCAGGCTGTGTTCAGGCCCTCCAGGTGATAGGAAGTCTGCTCTTATGAGCCATGCCTGGTGTATTATAAGCATTAAAGAAATTAAGTATTACAACATTTACTATCCTAATAGTTTTTCTGTAAATTTTTTTCCATTAGCTCTATTCCTTGTAGATGATTCTCCCTAGCCCCCCGATCTCATCCCAACCCTTTTGATATGAGAACCACAACGCTAAATCTAGTCTAGGGATGAGATATCACAGGTGTGTAAAGAGGAATAAAGTAAAAGTGCTAAATGGCGCAGATGAATTCCAGATTGCTCTGGGAGTTCAGCATGTTTCGGATGCCTTCTGGTGAAGGGAAACAAGATTTTTTGGGAAATGACATTTGAGCAGTGTTTTCATTGTCTGTTGCTGCAGAACTGGCCACTCCGAACCTTGAAGTAAAATCACTCTTCTCACATAGTTCTGAGTTGATCCACTGGCACTTCTCATTCATGTGTAGGGTGGGGAGGACTGAGACATGGAGGCACTGAGTCATGGTGGGCACTGAGACATGGCAGGCACTGAGTTATGGGGGCACTGAGACTTGGGGGGCACTGAGTCACGGAAGGCACTGAGTCATGGGCAGCACTGAGTTATGGTGGCACTGAGATGTGGCAGGCACTAAGTTATAGGGGCACTGAGAAATGGGGGTGCTGAGACATGAGGGCACTGAGATTTTGGGGGGCACCAGGACTTTGGGGAGCACTTTCACTCATAATCCGGGCAGCCCAGTGCTCATGTCAGCTAGAGTCCAATGTAAGGACGCCAGCACTGGCCTCGGCTCTCCTCCTCCTGGCCCCCAGGTATCCCTCGGGGTCTCGCAGTATGGAGATCTGGCGCACGATGGCAGCAGCCAGCACCTTCAGGCTTCTCTGACTTGACCGGAACTGACACGTGTCATTTATGTCCACTCGCCCAGATGCAGGGGCAGATACACCAAATGCAGGGCCAGCTTCAAGGGAAGGTGCCTCCTTGCTGGACTCTCTGTGCTCAGAGGGATTCAAGTGGTGACTAAAATGCAAACCAGTGTTTTTTGTGTCTGATTCATGTTGGGCGCTCAAACCAGGCATCTCTTTATTATTTTATTTATTTATTTATTTATTTATTTTTGTGTGTGATTAGGAAATTTCTCCTCTTCTCTCCATGGAAGCTATGGCATTTGTTACTGAAGAAAGGAAGCTTACACAAGAAACCACTTACCCAAATACTTACATATTTGACTTGTTTGGAGGTGTTGATGTAAGTATTATTACTATTACTACTTTTGCTTAATGGCTGCAGAGTTTAATTTTTGAGGGGCCAGAGCGAATGTACAGTGGGTCGGGCCTTTACCTTGCACGTGGCTGACCTGGGTTCAATGTGGTTCCCCAAGCACCGCTAGGAGTGATTCCTGAGTGCCTCTAGGACTGTACCTAGTAATACTCGAGATTGTTGTGCTGGGGATCAAATTGGGGTCGGCTGCATGCAAAGCCAGTGCTTTAAGCCTTTACTATCTCTCTAACCCCTTTGTGTTCTTATAAGGTGTTCATATATGTGCATACACATGTGCCAGTGACCCACTGCTACACCTTAGATTTATTTTCTTCCCACACAGAATTGGCTGCATGTATACAGAAATACAGATACAGGTACTCTATACCTTGGATCTACCCAGGAAGCTCACTGACTTGGGATAGAATAATGGTACAACAATTTTATCTTCCCAGGCCTCAGTTGATGGACATTTGGAGTTTTTTTTTTTTAATTAATTATTTTAACTTTTTTTTTTTTTTTAGTGAAACACCATGAGGTACAGTTGTAGACTTACAAACGTTCGTGCTTGGGTTTCAGTTGTACAATGATTGAGTACCCATCCCTCCACCAGTGCCCATTCCCCACCACCAATGATCCTGGTAGCCCTCCCACCCTCACACTCCCCAACCCACCCCACCTCTGTGGCAGGGCATTCCCTTTTGCTCACTCTTTCCTTCAGGGTCTTGTAGTTTGCAATAGAGGTATTGAGTGGTCATCGTGTTCAGTCTATCCCAAGTGAGTCCTCCAGACATCCTTTACTTGGTGTTTCTTTCTCTGTCTGAGCTGTCTTTTCCCCCAGCATGTGCTGCCAGCTTCCAAGTCCTGGAGCAGACCTCCTCATACTGATCTCAACTATTCTTGGGTGTGTGACTCCCATTCTGTTACTTTATATTCCCCAGATGAATACAGTCTTTCTATGTCTGCCACAGAGGCTGGAGTGATAGCACAGTGGGTAGGGTGTTTGCCTTGCATGTGACCAACCCATGTTCAATTCCCAGTATCCCATATGGTCTCTGAGCACCACCAGGAGTAATTCCTGAGTGCAGAGCCAGGAGTGACCCCTGTGCATCACCAGGTGTAACCACCCAAAAAGCAAAAAAAAAAAAAAAAAAAAAAAAAATCCATGTCTGTCCCTCTCTCTCTGGCTCATTTCACTTCACATGATACTTTTCATGTAGAACCACTTGTATGTAAATTTCATGACTTCATTTTTTCTAACAGCTGCTTAGTATTCCATTGTGTAGATGTATCAAAGTTTCTTTAACCAGTCATCTGTTCTCGGGCATTCGGGTTTTTTTCAGATTTTGACTATTGTAAACAGTGCTGCAGTGAACAAACAAGTGTAGTTATCACTTCAACTATTCTTTTTTCCCTCTCTGGGATATATTCCCAGGAGTGGTATTGCTGGGTCAAATGGGAGCTCAATTTCTAATTTTTAGAGAATTGTCCATACTGTTTCCCAAAAGGGCTGAACCAGTCGGCATTCCCACCAGCAGTGAAGGAGGGTCCCTTTCTCGCCACATCTGCGCCAATAGCAGTTGCTTTTGTTCTTTTGGATGTGGGCCAGTCTTAGTGGCGTGAGATGATAACTCGTTGTTTTGATCTGCATCTCCCTGATGATTAGTGATGTAGAGCATTTTCTCATGTGCCTTTTTGCCATTCAGATTTCTTTGAAAAAGTTTTTGTTCATTTCGTCACCCCATTTTTTGATTTGGGCTGGAGCGATAGCACAGCGGGTAGGGCGTCTGCCTTACACGCGGCCAACATGGCCGACCCGAGTTCGATTCCTCCGCCCCTCTCGGAGAGCCCAGCAAGCTACCGAGAGTATTCGATATGCCAGACACAGTAACAACAAAGTCTCCAATGGAGACGTTACTGGGCCCGCTCGAGCAAATCGATGATCAACGGGAGGGCCTTTACCTTTACCTTTATTTTTTGATGGGATTGGATGATTTCTTCTTGTGGAGTTCAAATAGTGCTTTGTATATCCTTGATATCGATCCCTTGTCGGATGGGTGTTGGGCGAATATCCTTTGCCATTCTTTAGACTGTCTTTGTATTTTGGTCACTGTTTCTTTTGAGGTGCAGAAGCTTCTTAGTTTACGATAGTCTCATTTGTCTATCTGTTTTCACTTGCTTGGCCAGTGGCGTGTCATTTTTGAAGATACCGTTAGCTTCAGTGTTGTGGAGGGTTTTGCCAACCTTGTCTTCAATGTACCTTATGGATTCCGGTCTGATGTTAAGGTCTTTAATCCATTTTTTTTCTTTAATCCATTTTGATCTTACTTATAAGCCCGGCAAGCTACCGAGAGTATTGGATATGCCAGACACAGTAACAACAAAGTCTCCAATGGAGACGTTACTGGGCCCGCTCGAGCAAATCGACGATCAACGGGAGGGCCTTTACCTTACCTTACCTTACCTTTGTACATGGTGTTAGGTAGAGATCTGAGCCCATGTTTTTGCATGTAGCTGTCCAGTTTTGCCAGCACAATTTGTTAAAAGAGGCTTTCTTTGCTCCACTTCACATTTCTTGCTCCCTTATCAAAGATTAGATGATCATATGTTTGGGGGGAGATGTCAGTATAGTCAACCCTGTTCCATCAGTCTACGGCTCTGCCTTTGTTCCAGTACCATGCTGTTTTAATTATTACTGCTTTGTAGTAGAGTTTGAGGTTGGGCAGTTTGATTCCTCCCATTTTCTTTTTCCCAAGAATTGCTTTAGCTATTCGTGAGTGCTTATTGTTCCATATGAATTTCAGGCGTGTTTGCTTCATTTCTTTGAAGAACGTCATGGATATCGTTATAGGGATTGCATTGAATTTGTACAATGCTTTGGGGAATATTGCCATTTTGACAATGTTAATTCTCCCAATCCATGAGCAGGGGATATCTTTCCATTTCTTTGTGTCCTCTTTTATTTCCTGAAGTGGCATTTTGTAGTTTTCTTTGTACGCATCTTTTATGTCCTTAGTTAAGCTGATTCCTAGGTACTTGATTTTTCTGGCGCACAGTTGTGAACGGGATTGTTTTTTTCATGTCACTTTCTTCTCTCTCATTATTTGTATAGGAAAGCCATGGACTTTTGGGTATTGATTTTATAGCCTGATACTTTACTATACAAGTCTATTGTTTCTAGGAGTTTCTTGGTAGAGGTTTTAGGGTTCTCTACATATAGTAACATATCATCTGTGAATAGTGAGAGCTTGATTTCTTTCTTTCCTACCTGAATACCCTTAGTATCTTTTTCTTGCTAACCACTATCGCAAGTACTTCCAGTACTATATTGAAGAGCAGTGGAGAGAGAGAGTGGGCATCCTTGTCTCGTCCCTGATCTTAGAGGGAAGGCTCTTAGTTTTTTCCCATTGAGGATGATGCTTGTCATAGGCTTGTGGTAGATGGCTTTAACTATATTGAGGAAAGTCCTTCTATACCCATTTTGGCAAGGGTTTTCATCATAAATGGGTGCTGGATCTTGTTAAATGTTTTCTCTGCATCTATTGATATGATCATATGTTTTTATCATTTCTTTTGTTGATATGATGGATTATGTTGATTGATTTCCGAATGTTAAACCATCTTTGCATCCCCGGGATGAATCCCACTTGGTCATGGTGTATGATCTTTTGGATGAGTTGTTGAATTCTATTTACTAATAATTTGTTGAGAATCTTCGCATCCGTATTCATCAGGGGTATCGGCCTGTAGTTTTCTTTTCTTGTGGTGTCTTTGTTTTCTCTTGGTATTAGAGAGATACGAGCTTCATAGAAACTGTTTGGGAGAGTTTCTTTTCTTCAGTTTCCTGGAAAAGCTTTAGAAGAACTGGCAATAGGTCCTCTTTAAATATTTGGAAAAATTTGCTAGGAACCCATCTGGACCAGGGCTTTTGTTTTTGGGAAGACTTTTGATTACAGTTTCAATTTACTTGATATTAATAGGAGTATTCAGGTATTCTAGATCTTCTTGATTCAGCCTTGGGAGATTATAGGAATTCAGGAATTTATCCATTTCTTCTAGGTTCTCTTGTTTTGTGGCATACAGACTTTCAATGTAGTCTCTGATGATCTTTTGAATTTCTTTGGTTTCTGTTATGATATCCCCCTTTTCATTTCTGATTCGGTTTATTAGGGTTCTGTTTCTCTCTTTCTTTGTGAGTCTTGCTAGTGGTTTATCTATCTTGTTTATTTTCTCAAAGAACCAGCTCTTGATTTCATTGATCTTTCAGATTATTTTTTGGGTTTCCATCTCATTGATTTCTGCTCTAAGTTTTATGATCTTTTTCCTTCTGCCTGGTTTGAGGTAGCTGTGAAGTCAATTTGTTTTGTGGGCCCTTTCTTCCTTCCTGAGAAATGCTTGCAGAGCTATAAATTTTCCCCCTAACACGGCTTTAGCTGCGTCCCATAGGTTCTGGTAGCTCGTGTCTTCATTTTCATTTGTTTCCAGGTATCTTTAGATTTCTTCCTTGATTTTTTTCCTGACCCACTCATTGTTCAACATTGAGTTGTTTAATTTCCAGGTGTTTGATTTGGTTTTCTGCATCTGTACATGATTAACTTCTATCTTCAGCGCATGGTGGTCTATCTTCCTGGTTCTGTTGAGGTATGTTTTGTGGCCCAGCACATGGTCTATTCTGGAAAATGTTCCATGTGCACTGGAAAAGAATGTGTATTCTTTTTTTTTTTTTTGGAGGGAGGGGTGTATAAAGTCCTGTATAGATCTATTAGCCCTCTGTCTTCTATTTCTTCCTTCAGGGCCATTATTTCCTTGCTGAGTTTTTAATCTTCTTGTTCTATCTAGGGGTGTTAAAGCAGTGTTGAAGTCTCCAGCTACTATTGTGTTGCTTGTAATGTCCTCTTTTTTTTTCTTTTTTTATGTAGGAGTACTGCTATTTATTCAGCCACTAATTAGCTGATTGAATAGTGCATGAACTCCACCTTAATTTTTTT